AGTACAAAGAAAATTCGTGCATAAGGAGGAGCTAACACAATACTAAAGAAAGGTAGTGGAAAATAACACCATTAAGTAAAGAAAAAGTGGGAAGTTGATGGAAGTGGATGGCCTACGTCTTGCAATATTTTAGGAGCTACACATACACATACATAAACACACACAAATACATCAAACACACACACATATATATATAAATACATATATATTACCTTATGGGAGAAATTTGGCGATCTTTGGAGGATTTAGAAAAAAAATTTCGATTTTTATTTTTTTTTCCGAAAATTTTTGAAGTCTGATGAAGAAGACGACTCGTGGTTTTATATTGTGTTTTGCGACGGAATTTTCCGTCGCAATCCGTCACAAAATGAAATTAATTTACGCGCCCAAAATTCAAAAAATTTCGTCGAAAAACGAAACCAAATACATTGCGACGGAATATTTCGTCGCAATCCGTCGCAATTTTTATTTTCCGTCGCAAATCATCTATTTCTTTGTTGTGACAGAATTATCCGTCGTAAACCGTAGCAAATTGCGACGGATGTTGCGACTGTTTGCGACGGATAATTTTTTTCCACATTCTGTCGTAAAATCGTCACATTCCGTCGCAATTTTCTGTGCGATGGAAATTTCCGTCGCAAATTCCATCGCTATATGCAGGTTTTTTCGTAGTGCCGCAACCATTTTTTTCATTTTTTTAAGCAATTTTGTGTGTTTCCAGTATTTCATCTACTTGTATACTCAAATATCTAATCCTCCCCTTCAAGTTTTTGAAATTAAACTTTAACTCTTTTATAGCTTTAATGTCTCCTCTTTTTTCAACATCATCACGATGTTCTTATATATGATTCTTGTTTTGTTCTTTCTTCTTCTTCTTGCTCTTCCTCGATCACTTTTCTTTTTTCTTTACTTGTTTTTCCACTTTTCTTTTCCATATTTTTTGGCTGAAGCAATTTCTTTTCTTTTATTGTACTTCTTCATCCTCGTAACGACGACATATGATTTTATATCATCTTCAAAGATATCCTTGCAACGCATAGATTTTGGATCCCCTTGCAAACAATTCATCCAACTATCAATCATCTCATCAACATTATCTTCATATTATACACTTTCAATCAGAGGGTAACTCATCATCCGTTGGCACCAAAATGATGTCAATGATATACAATGAATGCTCAAATATATTAGTCATTCTGTGTTACAACTTATTCTCTACAACTCCTATTTACTAATTTAATACGATTTAACTTATACAACTTATATTTAATTACCTCAACATTTTAGAAAGAATACCTATATCATCCCATTTTTGCCAACCGTTTTTTATCCCATACTTTTTGTTTGGGATGAAACACCTACATATCTGTGGATAAGTTCAAAGGACATTTTCTTCCAATTTCATGTTATTATACCATTCGTACTGACAGAGTTTCAGAATGCACTCGAATGATAACATCTGCAATTTAAAAGACTCAAGATTACAAATATATCTCTTACTACTATTTTTTACTTGATTTAACCGTCAACGGAATTATGAAACCTGGTAGGTTCCACTGACTTATCGGTGTTGTATGCTCATTCAGATAATTGTGAATAAAACCAACAACATTCTCAAAGCTGAACCTTCCCCATGGAATTGTTTCGCAAGCCTCCAAATCATTAACAATCTTCAACAAAAATGGATTAACATAATCTGCGTGATGGTGTCCAATCATATAACTCACTAGGATGAGATAAACCATCTTCAACCTATCTTCTGATTTATCTACAGACAATTCTGTAAATCATCTCTTAACATCCATCCTAAAAAAATTTGCATACTTTTCCTCGTCAAAGTGTTTTCTGTAGAAGTCAGGTCCACCAATATCCTTCCCATTCTCTAGTAATTCAAAACAATTTAGACGTGACAACAAATCATGTTTCCATAGCAAGTGTCGAATTGGAAATCGATTGATTATAAACCGTAATTTAACATCTTTCTTCGTCCTCAATGCTCTGTTTATGAGTGCTACAATCAAACTCATCTTCAACATCTGTTTCTTTTTCATAAGGAATAAATATCAAGAGGACGACTTTTCCGAGAAATAAGTCATCCATTAATCTATCAAATGTTTTTCTAGAAACTCCACATCTTCAAAGTGAAAGCACTGCATCGATACTTTTACCGATATTTGTTCATATTGTCGAACTCGTAATAAAATTCTGGTATTAATGGTTCGTCAGCTTGCAATAAAAAAGAGTAAATTAAGTATCAAATATCACAATATATTATTAAATTATCAATTTACCAAACTTTCTTTATGTGAAAGTTTCAATATGACTAATTTATAAACTTTTATTTACGACTACTTTACAATCATATCATTTTCACTTACAACATCAATCTGAACCACAATCTTAACCTATATATCATGTTTTTTTAACTTTCCTATAGCTAAACTCTAAAAATCGAAAACCTAAACTTATACCCTCAAAACTCGAACAAGCCTGAATAAACTTAAATCTCTTGCTGAAATAGAAACGGTACCTAAAAATCTCAATTGGGTTTTCTTTTTTGGATGTCCTCGATGAAAAATCTTCCCTATGACTTGTAACCTCCTTCGATGAAGATCATGTTCTCATCTTCTGGGCTTGCAATGATTTACGGGTTGCAGAGGTTCAGTGATTCTAGCTAACGAAAACAATAATTTTTGTTGGGTTAAGGTTTCTTCGAAAGATTTCACCGTTTTTCTTCTGAGTTCTTTCGTTACACCTCTCTCACACACACAAAATACGATTTAGAATTGTAGTAAAGTGTTAAATTTTAAACCCTAGTTTAGTTTCTTTGAGCGTGTGTGATTGTCTTTCCCTCCCACGTTCTATTTCATTAAGGGTATGAATGTTTTTTCCTTCTTTCATAAGGGTACAAAAGACATTTAATAATATGTTCTATTTTTTTTAATGTATTTCTGAAATAAGTGCGATACAAATTGGGTTATTTCTGGTATTAACCATGAGGGTTTATACCAGAAATTACTTTGTATACTTTTATTTCTGAAATCAAATGTTGTGTACTTTTATTTTGTAATATTACTTTCAAAATTACTTTAATCCAGTCAAGAGATAAAAAAAAAACCATTCTCTCCCAATTCAAAACCCCCAGAAGAAACCCAGAAGAAACCCAGATCCCTGATCCCCATGGGAGGCTGTGTTTCCTTCCAGTTTTCTTGTGACAATTTCCTCCGAGAAATCTCCAGTTGCTGCAAAAACCATTTATGGAATCTCAAAGGAATGTGAGAACTTTACGGGATTCAGCAAACGAGCTCAGATGGAAGAAGTCCGGTGTGGAAGAAGTTGTAGAGGCAGAGGAGAACACCACACGTAAGGTGCGGACTGCTGAAGTCGATCACTGGCTTTTGGATGTGCAGGTAACCTTGAGTTTCGTTGGTGATTTGCTGGAGCAGAGCGAGGAACAAATCCAGCGATCAAACTCACTGTGCTGCTGCCTAAGCTGGAGGTCAACATGGCCCTATGCCACACTCGTAGCCCGCCTGTGCGGAACGGTGAGAGACCTCATTTCCACTGGAGTTTTCCAAGAGGTAACTAGGCCAGGCCCCCCTTTTCGTCTTTTCATACCAGTAGCTGACATAGTGGGTAGGGAGCACCTGCTTCACCAAGCGTTTCGCAAGATTACCATGGAGGGGGACAATATAGTCGGGATTTACGGGCCTGGTGGAGTAGGAAAAACCGAAATCCTCAAACATTTCAAACAGATGTTTGAAGAAGTGTTAATTGGTGTGCTTGACATTGTGATTTGGGCGGATCTGTCCGACGGTGTCCCTCTTCAAGAGATAATCGGAGCGCGCCTTTGCTTGGTCGACGAGGAATGGCAGTCACAAACTGTAAAACAAAAGGCGAACATCATATCGAGGAATCTTGAGAGGAAGCAGTTCGCTCTGTTGATAGACGACCTCCGTACCGGCGTGGATCTCCAGGAGATCGGGCTCCATAACCTAACCAAGCGAGGCGGATCCAAGGTAGTGTTCACCACTCACTTCGTGGACGTTATTCGACACATGACGGCCAATTTTGAGATCGAGGTCCCCCCATTGTCCCTGGTTGCTGCTTGGGATATCTTCAAGAGGGGTGTTGGAGAAATCCCGATCACATTGCACCCCGAGATCCCTGATCTAGCTCGGGCGGTCGCCGCGGAATGTCGAGGTCTCCCGCGAGCACTCCTCATGATCGGCAGGATCATGTCGACCAAGACAACGGTCGGGGAGTGGCGCTTGGCACTGGACAAGTTGGCCATGTTTAGCGGAGCTGAGTTGGAGGTCGAAGCCGCACTTCGACGTTTCGCCTCCATCTTCTCCGAGGATACGCCTGCCTCCTCCTCTACTAAGGTGATGATATTCCATTACTCTGGTTTCCTTATTTCTTTAATGGGCACCGAACTAAAGGGGTTCTTTGTGTTGTACAGGAATGATTGGATTGGACGACATGGATTGGTTTGCGGTTTTCTCTTGTTGGCGTGTTGTGTTTGCACTCGGTATTGGTGTTTTATGGTTTCTTGTTTGTGTGTTGTGTTTGCACTCGGTATTGGTGTTTTATAGTTTCTTGTTTGTGTGTTGCGTTTGCGCTAGGTACGCTATTAGGTACGCTCTTGTTTAGCCAATCCCCTGTTTATAACTTGTAAACCACGCAATCCAACAAATCGCCCAAACCTCATTCGGAGCAGACAGTATACCCTAGGTTTCACATCTTCGTCATGATTGTTTAGAGAAGTAGACGAGAAGAAAGAGAGAGAAAGGAAGCAATGAGCATGGCAGAGGGCTTTCAGAGGTTCAACACGGCAACTCGAAGGTAGGTCAGAGGTTTATCCGATCTGGTTTGACTTCTCCTGGCTTCTTTCCCTCGTTTTTGTTCATGGTTTCTCGGTGAGGCTCCAGATTTGTGGAGATCTGTCGAGCCTTATACTTTCTGGCTTATTCTTTCCATCGTTAGTGGATTCGCCGGTACCATCTGACCGAGATGTAGGCCCGAGTTTCGCGCGGTGATCGAACTCGTAAAAACTCCGATGTCTTTTGCTTCTTCATTCTTTTTGTGTTGATCAGAGCGTCAGAGAAAACCAGTGAGGGCTTGATATCATACTTACAAGTTGTATTAGAGTCTGTTTGAGGTCTAGGGAGAGATAGTTCGCTGGCAAAGATAAGGTAAGTTAGTTTTGGTTTCGATCTATTATCTGTGTGAGTGATCTGACTCTCTATCAAGTGTTTTAGGACAGAGAAGCTAAATTGGCGACTGAAAGAGGCAAATCCGAAGTTTCGTAAGCCATCTACAACAAGAATCGTCAGACTGGAGCGGTGGAGAAGATATCTCGGGGCAGAAAGGATTCGGACCAGGTGAGTCAAGTGAGCCTTATGAGTCGATTCTCTCATTTTTCCGCATTTTATGGGTTGAGATTGAGTTTCTATTGAAACTCAGTGCTAACTCGGCGGAAAAAGTCTGAGTCCGGTGAAACTCGAAGGCGACTCATCCGAGTCATAATTGAGTTGAGGAATTGTGTGATTCAATAACCAGGTTGACTCGTCGAATATGCTTTATTAAATTAGGGTTTTTGTTCGATGTGGTTCGGTCGGTTAAACCGAAAATTAATTTCAGATCAACCCGATTTGGATCAATCGATCTAGTTTAGTTCGATTTAATTCAATACGATTCGGTTCACGGTGGTTTAGACCGGGTTTGGTCGGTTGATTTCGATTTGGTCAAAGAATTAATCGGATTTGGTCCACAGTTGACCTATTTAGGTCAAATTGGACTAGTTCAGGTCTGATTTGGATCAATTGGACCAGTTCATATCGATTTCATGATAAATAATGTCTGACTTTGTTAAATTCAAACTAGTCTAGGTCGGTTCTAGGCCAATTTAGGGTTTGCTTTGGATAAATTAGGGTTGTTTTGTCATAGTTTAAGGTACTTGGGGTCTGTATTATTTGAATTATCTTAGGTATTAATCAATTTAGGCTATATGTGATTTCATTTTATCGTATTTGAGTTATAGAGTTTTGTATTCTATCCGATTTAGGTTTGAATCTTTTTTTGATTTAAATCAATTAGATATGGGATTTGGGTCTATTCGATAGAATCAAAACGGGACTAGCCCGAGAAGTCTGATTCATGAAAAGTTCTAGAAACTTTAATACAAATCTGCAGAATATTGAGAGAATATTCTTGATTGATTTTAGAATTCAAATCGGATTCAAATCTGTAAAAAATCTATCAAATATGATTGAGATATGATTGAGATAATATCAAAATAAAATCTAATTTGAATTTTAAAAATCAAATTGATTTTATTTTGAGATTCTCCCCTCTACTATAAATAGAGGTCGTGGGATAGCTCATTCTACACAAAAAAACAAACATTATAGAGAAAACAAGAGCATTAACATATTTGCGCATATTTCTCAGAGTTCACTTGATATTTGGAAAGCTTCTTCCAAATACGCGGTCGTTGTATCCTGTGAGTTCACCGCGCTCCAATTATGTTTCACAGGCCTCAACAAAATAATCTTTTATTTCAGGTACTTCTCTGGAATTGTTCGAAATGCCGGAGTTTTGTCGTTGTGAACAACTGCCGTCCCCAACATGAGGTTGTTTAGAAATTGATTTACACTAAAACACCATGAATACATGCTTGTAGGGATCGATTTAGATTAGATCAGATGTATAGGAGATGATTTTAGGCTCAGTTTATTCAAATAGCAAATCCACAACATTTTTGCAAACTTACCACAACTTCTCTTCCCCCTACTATCCACAAACACGAATTTCTGAATCCATTCTCGGAAAATGCATGACATTACCTAACACTTTAAAAATGATAAGGATATGAAATTGAATTAATTAAAGAACACCAAGTAACACCTCCAACAAAGGATGACAAACTTTAAAACAAACAAAAATTACGTTCATACTTTCCCTAATAAGTTGGAAAGCTTAAAAAATTTAATTTATTAAATATAAGTGAATGCGATTGGAGTCTACACAAACTTTATTCTATTAAATATTACACTATGAGATGATTATAGAAAAGGAATGTCACGAAGTCAGACACCCCAATGATACAAACCAAGAAGAGACAAAACACACTATTTAATTATATCTATCACCGGAAAAAAAAAATTATGAAAGACAGTGGAAGTCTATGTATGAGCAAACCCAAAACCCTAATTCAAAAGGGCGATGGCGACGGACATAGCTGCGGCAAAGAAACCGACGCCGGCGATGGAAGCGGCGGATCCAGACGGCGGAGATTCGCCGCCGGCAGCGCCGGAGGAGTTGGTGGTGGTGCCGGGTGGTGTGGTCGGACCCGAGACGGGGGCTGGGGGGGCGCCGGCTCCAGCGATGGTGACGGCGAGTTTCTGGCCGACCGTGCAGTGGTCGCCGACGGTGCAGATGAAGTAGTGGGTCCCAGTGGTGTTGAGTGTGACTTTGACGGGTGGCTTCTGGAAGAGGGTCATTGGATTCGCCTTGTTGCAATTGTCGTACCCTTCCTTGTTCACTATTGCCACGTCATGCATCCCTTCTCTGAATTCGAATTCTATAATAAAACAAAAACAAAAAGATAATTAAAAATGAGTAATCAGAGAATAATATTTTTTTTCAATTAAAAAAGAAAAGAAAAGAAAATCTGTGTTGCATAGCGTTGGAAACATTCGGATCCGTTATTTTAGAATTTTTCGATTCAGATTAATCGATTTAAAAAATATATAGAAGAAACGAAAATAGAATTTTATTCAATTTGGCTTGTTTGGGATTTTATATAATATAAGGCAAATTTGTGATAACAATTCCATCACATGGGGGAAAAAAAACTAAGATAATATGGATGACGTTATAGATCTAATGAAACACATCCACTCGTTCTTTTATATCATATATTTCAATAATTAAACAAAGTAAAGAAATTTTTAATAATCGAAAATAAGATAAATTTACTAATCGAATCCAAATTTAAGTTACTCGAATACCCTATTTTTGGAACGAAATCCCATTTTAGGATAAATTTTTGTTTCCCAGTACCCCTAGTTCACAACCACAGCCATTTTGTATTATCTTCGCCTTCAACTTTCTACGTATACGTCAATATGTTCAATATCTCTATATAATTTCGACTCAAACCGTTGCCAAATTCTTGTATGTAGCTGTTTTTTTCTCTATCTTTCTCGACAATAAATTTGCAATCCTAATAATAACTCTTCAAATCACAGTGAAAAGGGACCCACCAAGAATATCGCCTAGTCGGAAAGTTTTTCCGGCAGCCCATCTGGTGTAGAAGTCGGCGGTGGAAGGTCGTGTCCATTCGGTATCGTCCCCAACGTCGTAATCTTCTGCGACCGCCATCGCCACGAAAATCGCCACACAGAAGATCGATATTTCGAAAATCCTTGCCATTGTTTGTGTTCGAATTCAAATCCGAATGATCAGATTCTTCAGGTCACCCCCTCTCGCGTTCTTTTCGAAACTCCGCCTCTTGTGTGTTTTTGGTTCGGTGTCTTGAGTTCTTGTTTTGTTTTTTTTTTTTGGGAGTTCGGTTGTATTTATAGGAAAGATGGGAGCAAAAGAAATGTCAAAAGATGGGGCCCTAGAAGACGCGTTTCGTGGCCGAGTCGTCGTGTTGAAAAATAAATAAATAAAAATCTTAGATTTGCATGGAATTTTATAATTTTTATGGGTCAGATTGGTCAACTTTGTCTGCATTTTAGGTGGTTATAATTATATTACCAAATGTGGTCGGTTCCTAATCTTGGACCGAGTAAAACGTTATTTTTGCCAAAAATTATCGAAAACTCAGGAGAAAATTGCACAGTTATGTGTCCTAATAATAGCCACCGGGAAATTCACTGACATACAAGTTGCGTGCTTTAGTAGGTAAATCAAATCCTGATAGATTAGTTATAACATTAGGAATTTTGTCTGAAATCCTTCGTTAAACTACTCAATTTTTAATTTGATTTTATTAAAAAAAAATACGAAATCTGTTTTTAAATCGAATTTGATTTTTATGGATTACACTAATTTCGTACCGATATTTGGACTACGTTCTTATATGCTATATAAACAAATTAATCATATAAAAAAGTAGTCTATGTTGTACAAAAATTCCATATATTATTATGAAATTAATTTGTTATAGAGATATTTACAACGTGCAAGTCGTTTTCATTTTATGAAATGTATTGTATATAACTTGAGAGAGAAAAAACAAAGATGAAATAGAGAAAGTAAAGTTGAACAGTGAGATTATAGATAAGAATTCCAAGTTGGAAAATGCGACTTGTACGGAGTTACGTACGACCAGCGTGAGTTGAACACGTGATTAACCCACCACATGTAAACATGTTTGATTTAAGCTGAATTTATTGCTATTTAAAAAAAAAATTATCCTAATTCTTTTTTTTCTATAAATAAAATAGATTTTATTAGAGCCCAATATAGAGGAAAATTTGGAGCTGCTGTCATGATTTTTAGAATTAAATGTATAGAGTGGATATCCGAAATTTTTTATAATCTTAAATTCGATTCATATTTGAAAAATAAAATATCTGCCCTAATATAAATCTTAATGGAAAACATTTAATGCATATTTTGGAATATCATTATTATTATACAAATTTGGGTAGTGCAAGAAAATATACATTTTTATTCAGGTTCAAATTTAAATATGGGAGGTATATTCACTCAAATTTTTCTATTTTTTTCTAAACCATAATGAGATTAAAGGTTCGGTGAATTTCTAAATTATTAAAAAATCGTTATTGTTATATCGTTAGAAAATATATAAATAAATAAAAAGATTAATAACCAAAAAAAATACATAAATTCCTTAACGTAAGTCGCCCCATATCTATATGATCCACATGGTACAGGCCCAGGCCCATATAAATGTTGACTTGAGCACTCGCAAATTATCCCTTTCCATTTTCACATTGTCACTAAACCCCTATTCCAACGGAAATATTACTCAAATAAACCACTTGTGTCGCAGCAGTGTACATCACCCGAAAAAAAAAAAAATTTCAATTTTAACCCATTTTTCAGTTGGAAAAGTACGAAATACCCTTTTCGTTTTATTTTTTTACAATTTTATTACGATTAATATATAACTGATATACCACTAAAATAAGACAGATAATTTTTTTGCCACCTTTTTTTAGAATCAATTGTAACTATATTTAGAATTAATTACGAACTCGTAATAACGGAGTTGTTTTCGAACGGATAAAAATCGCGTATTTATTAAGGGTAATTTCGTCTTTTCACACACAAAAAAAATGCAAGTGAAATAGGTGCGAGTCATCTTGTGATTTGAGTAAAATTCCCGATTCCAACGGTCTCCCCAAAACCCTCGTTCTTCAGTCGGAGATGGTTATTTCTCCATTCCTTGGAAATTTTGTGATCTTATTTCCGATTTCTTTTATTTGTGTTCCGAATTTTCCCTTCGAATTTCTCGGATTTTTATTTTTGCAGGTGGAAGCAGTAGTAAACCCTAAGGCGTATCCGCTTGCGGATGCTCAGTTAACGATAACGATTCTTGATCTTGTTCAACAGGCTGCTAATTACAAGCAGCTAAAAAAGGGCGCTAATGAAGGTATTGCTTCTTAGAAATGTCTCGTCCTTTCTGATTTTAGGGTTTTTCTTGGCTAGGGGATTTCGCTGATTCGTTTTTGTTGGATTTGGATTTCTGGGCTTTCAGCTACAAAGACATTGAACCGTGGGATCTCTGAGTTTGTGGTAATGGCAGCTGATGCAGAGCCCCTCGAGATTCTCCTTCATCTCCCCTTGCTTGCAGAGGATAAGGTTAGTTATGATTAGTAGTTGAAATTACATGTTTTTGTTGTTCGTTGTCACTTGTCAGTAACATTATTCAGTGGATGATTATTGTGTATGCACATGCTTTTTCCCCATATCCATGTTAGTAAATCACGAGTAAGTAGGATGTTTTGACAACTGCATACATTGGGGTGCTTACACATTTGAGATTCCAGGCCTTGAGTGTTTTGACAAGATTCTGCTTTTGTGTATGTCTTTCTTCTTCCTGTCTTCTGTTGTGTAGATAGATGAGTTGGGTCTGTCTTTCATGTTTGGTTTTACACTCGTTCTTCTAGCCCTGTTCAATTCTGATAATGCATCATTCTTCCGAGTCTCGATTCTTGTTGTGCTTCTGATCAATCATGGCAGTTGTCTGGTTTTTCCATGTACATCCTTTGTAGTTGAACAGGTAATAGGTAATTGAATATCTAAACTGTTTCTTTTGGTCAGAACGTGCCGTATGTGTTTGTACCGTCGAAACAAGCACTAGGAAGAGCATGCGGTGTAACAAGACCGGTCATTGCTTGTTCGGTTACGTCAAATGAAGCAAGCCAGTTGAAGTCACAAATCCAGCAGCTCAAGGTACAACATTCTCCCACCTTAAGATTCAAATGTTCACTCTCTATCAAACGGTTTCTCATTTTTCTGAATTTCCCCACATTGCAGGATGCCATAGAGAAGCTTCTGATCTAACCCTAATGATTGCTTTCTCCGTATGATGGGTCTCCTCCGACCGATCGTGGATGGATGGCTTTGAGTGAATGAAAAGCTCTGCTCAATTCAATTCCTCGTAAGTTTGTTTCATTTGCGGTGGAATATCATTACAGATATCTGCGAATATTCATATGGGAAAAAAACAGTAAACCCTGAATTGAGATTCTAGGGTTTATGCATTTTCGAAAAACTCGGATGATACCTTCATTCTTATTCTCTGTAGAAATTCTGAAGGAAAATGATGATGTTCTGCTTGACGAAGATTATGACAGCTATGGAAGGCCTATAGTTTCACCGATTCAGAGCCGAAAGCAGAACCCCCAAATCTAATTGGAAAACAAACAAATCTTAGCTTAATCTGATAGCAGATAATTCACCATAATTAAGGAAGGAATGGATTCAAACCTCAATGCCATCCACCAAAAAACTTCTACGGGAGGATATGTATCTTTTAGATTACGTTTTATTTTGTTATTCTTTTAGAACGTGAGCTTTTGAAACATTTACCATTTTAGATAGGATTTCAGAATATTAGACAGATTTAGTTTTGGTCACATTCTTAATTTTTATCCATTGGATCTCCTTACATATGGAGCCAAATATTTGATTAATAAAGCGTTGAAAGTTTTGGATTTTTGGTACGCTTAAAAATAATGTTAGCAGCCACAGTAATTGCAGCTCCAAGCATATTTAAGTTGCTGCGGTCAAAAAGCTTATAGTTGGACTTTGGGATGGGTCGTTCGGTTCGTCTTTCGGAAAAATTGGAGGAAAATAGATCCGGTGCTCGGAAAAATGTGATTTTGTTGATTCTCTCCAAGCCCTTTAAATGGTTCATCTCTGTTGGGTTTTTGTGAGTCAAAACTAAAAAAAACATGAAGTTGAAGATATGTGCAGATGCAAAGGAAGAAGGTGATGAAGAAGAGAAGCTGACGTAGTTTTAGATCTTAGATCATGCATTTTAACTCAGCTTATATTGTTTTAGGGTTGATTCTTGATGTTTTAATTTGGTTGAGTACTTCGATGGATTCTTTTACAGAAACAAAACCCAAACACATACACAGGCACAACTTGTTTACGACGAGTTCGGATTCGTAAGAATCCTACATTAAATATCTAGATATTATTTTTATAATTTTCATAATTTGGATAATAAATTAATTTTCGGTATAGTCCGATTTATTTTTAATCAATTATCTGAAACTATATTTGATCTAAAAATTAATTTGAACCAGATTAACGCCATAGTTCAAGATCAAATTTAGTTCATCACACAACGCACCGAAAATATACCCCATGCTTTTAGAAATAGATTATACTTTTTAATTATAACAATGTAAGTATAGAAATAAACATTGATTGGATTGGACAAATCAGTCGTACCACTATGTATATATATAGTCAATTACCTATGTATATGATGTGTAAATAAACTTTCAAACGTCAATGCGCTAAGAGTCTAAGGATCCAAATTGGTTGTACCGGCGTGGTTGTGGGTATCGACATTTGCATTGCATTTTTTAGCGATTGTAAATAGTTAATATTGACTGATCGATAAGTTGTTATTAGTAGCGGTTGTAATTTGATTTAAATTAATAAAAAGGACATGATTTTAATATATATAATATATTTTTTAAAATAATTATAATTTTTTATTATCATTTGATTAAAAGATTATTTACTAAATTTATAAAATAATTAAATAAAAAATTTCACTTATAAATTTTATCAATTTAATTTATTTTGAGGTAAAAAATAATTTTATTATTAAAAATATTGAATTTAAAAAAGATATTTTGGTCATTTTAATTAGCCGGTGCTATCGAAATGAAGGTATGAAATTGCGATTAAAAATCTCGTATTTTGTTGTAGAGTTGCGTTTCACTTGGATTTAACCAGTCGATTTTTTAATCGTCTGCAACTATTATAAATCATAATCGTTCCATCTGCATCTGCAGAGGGTAACGGTGCAAAGAGTTGCACATCAGAATTTGAGATAGACCTCGAATAAAAGTGTTTATGCTTTTAGAGCATTGAAATTTGGTTGACTATAAAATTCATATATTTTTTTTTTATAGAATTATAGTAGCTGTTATCTAGGTTTTATGATTTTATCTCCACCTAAGCCGTTACTTTTTAAAATAATTTCAAGAATAATATTGTAGATTTTTATAAAGATTTTAAAAAAAAAATAATTTTGAGTTTTGATATAACTCGATTTAAAAAGAGTTTACATCAAAATCATGTATACATCTAGTACTCAAACCGACAGAATTTTAAAACGAAAGAAGCCCATGAAATAATAGATGTGAAACAAAGTAATAGGACAAAGATATAGAAAATAAGGAAAAACATATAAAGTAATGGACAAACAAGTAGAAGATAACAGAATTTATGAATGTACAATGCATAGATGGTGGGGGTCCATGGACCAATGTTGGACTTTCTCAAACATAAATTGATAGGCTAACCAAATATAAAACATATCATCACATAAAATAAATAAAATAACTTTACAAACACATCAAAAAACGATATTATATATATATATATATATACATATATCCTCCATGTTTGTATGTCCCGTTTGATTTTGAGCAAGCCACGTGGTTAGATTCTTACTAATCACCTCCATTCACTGTCTAATCCACATTATTTAATTTGTCTTCTCTGTTATTTATTGTCGCGTTGTGAATGATGCTGACCAAGTAATTCGGTTTATAAATTATACGCGAGGTTGACTACTTGCCCTCGGGACAAATACATATAAATTAGAACTAAAAATCATATTATTTACTCGACAACATATGATTTGATGTGGTTGTTACATACGTAATATATCACTAAACACAGCTGGCTAAATCATTAAGAGATTAATTAAGGTTAATTAGCTAGCTTTTGTTTATATATATATATGTATGTATGTACACACGTAAAAATGGAATGGGCACTTTTTGTGGTACGTATATGAATACGATATTATATATATATATATATATATATATATATAGAGAGAGAGAGAGAGAGAGTAAATGAAATAGAATACTATTAGAGACGGCTCTTTTTCCTCACTCACCTCTTTATATAAATGCACTATGCACAAGAAACAATGCGGACTTCTTCCACAAACCCAAAAACAAAAAACAGCAATGGCTCATGAAGAGAGAGTCAAAAAGCAGAAGAAGAGTCTCATCATAAGCTTCTACAAGTTCTCCACCTCCATAAAATCATTATCATCATCATCATCATCATCATCATCCGGACATCAACACAGCAACAACAACAAATCCGAGAAAACCAGAATAATCCCGTCACAAATAGACAAACTCCCGCTTCCCACATCGGAAACAACCGTCCAATGCAAAAACATCAACACCCACATCTCCAAAACTCCGTACAAAGAAGAAGATGTCGTGGTGGAGGGAGGGAGGAGATCGGTGTCGTACGTGGAGACGATGAGTGTTGCGGCGGCGGCGGCGATGTTGTCGGTGAAGATAGTGGCGGTGGACATGCCGGGTTTCATGCAGTCTCACGCCTTTAGGTGCGCCAGAAGGACTTTTGATAGTTTGGACAAATTTAGTTCTAAGCACATGGCTTTCAACCTCAAGAAGGTAAACCTATACATCTCTCTCTTATAATTTCTTATCTTCTCTTTGGTGATTGTGCCATAGCTCTTCTTTTGACTATATGCACATGTATATGCCATCCATTTTATTAGGGTTTCTTTCATAAATATAATTTAGGAACATGACGTCGTTTGTCTTGTTGATTTCTAGCATAATGTGTGAACATGACAGATCTAGTTAGTAGTACTATTCTCTTTAAGGTTAATGAAAATTCATATAGAATTACCGAAAGCTAACATTAATTTCATGTTTGTTGTTCTAATAAATCCAATTTAATGTTCTCTATTTTTTTGTCCTATTAATAGTTTGTATGCGGGACCAAAGTATTAAATCATATGATACAAAAAGGATGGCAGATGTAAATATATGGGGATCTTGAATGGGAAGTGTGAGTGTTTGTTTTTGTAATTGGTACAGCTACTTTGAAAAGGGCGTTTTATTTTATTGCTTTCCCTGATTTTGTAATAAGATCCAACATCCCCATGTGGTCCGCTGCGCCTTATCCCTTATTTTCTAACATTTTTTTTCACGATCCCTATCTCTCTCACTCCACATTAATGCATTGCACTTTGACTATAACATCATCTCTTTTGTCTTCCATGACTTTTCATAAGTACACATCTATACAAGGGCTATATATATATATATATTGTGTGTACATGTGTGTGTGGTATAGTAGTGTTCACTATACGTGCTCTCTCGCCAATTAGGAGTTTGAATCTTGATTTTTTCGTAAAGATTTTTGTATTTCATTTGCTGAAATATGTACAAGTGAAACTTTTTTTTGTGCAAGATAAAAGTGTGAATCTAACGCCGCAAAAGGGTACACGCATCAGGGAGTATTTAAGACAAATGTGAAAAATCTGTGTATTGTGGCTATAGCTATATGTATATTGTGTTAATTTGGTGTTATGGTCACTTATATGTGGGTGCATATATATATATACATACATGCGTGTGACATGTTTTTGGTACATGTGAAATGTGCAGGAGTTCGACAAAGTGTATGGACCTGCATGGCATTGCATAGTGGGCTCAAATTTCGGGTCGTTCGTGACACATTCCACTGGCTGCTTCCTTTATTTCTCCATGGAGAAACTCTACATTCTCCTCTTCAGAACCAAAGTCCGTAGAGCTCTAGATTGAAATTTATCTTATTTCCATTTCCATTTGTCTAAGGTTCATAAACTTATACCGAAAGAATGGATTCCTGTAAATGAAATTTGTGGCTTTTCATTTTAGTTATGATTAAAGATGTGACCAAAGGCTTCTTATAATGTTTCATGTGAATGGTTCTTTTGATTTATACTTTTTTTTTTAATTATAAAGGGTTTCTCGTTATGAGCCATAAAATAAAGCCAATCAGAATGTGATTGTTCATTGTAGTTATTCACATTGTAACCCAAATTCCATTTTTTGTTTGGAAAGAATTACATTTTTTTTCTAGGCTTTATAGAAACTATCCATTTTGTATTTGAACTTACATATTTTTTTTTAGGATTTATGATAACGGTCCATTTTGTATTTGTATATAGTTATATATATTTCTTTTGGGTTTTGTGATAACTGTTTGAAAATATTTCATTATATATGTTAATGCAAGGAAAGAACACCAAGTGAAGATTCAGCATCTAGAAGATCTCAAGAGAAAAGGAAACATGCCATTGAAGAAAAATGGAAAGATCAAATAAAAGGAATAAAGTTCAAGAAAAAGGAAAAGAAGATATTAAGCAAAATATTATAAACAAGAAGAAGAGCTATGCATAAATACAAGACTTGGGAGATACAGAAAGGTATCCCAGCAGAACAGAAAAAGAGAGAAAAGAGCAAACGAGCTGGAGAATCATAGGTGTGGGAAACACGGGTGAGTGATACTTGAGAGAGAGTGAAGTGCATCTGAGAGAGAGCCTTCAAAAACAGGCGAATCGCTCAAAGGACCTAGACGAGTCTAGGGTTACATGGGGTGTGCGAGACACACATAGTGTATGGGCTGCTAGAATTCATGTTGTATGGGGGAACAAACTCAGAGGGAGTTGTGTTCTTGGGATGGATTAGGCTCGAACGAAAAAGAGTTGTAATTCATGTTCTTTACAAATGAATAGAATCAGTTGACAAGTTTTTGAAAGCAATATCGTGTGAGTTTTACTTTTTCAATTGGTATCAGAGTCTGGTTACTGATCGTAGGAAATTTTTCCTCTCATATCGGTGTATAATTCAGTCTCACACGATGGATGGATACAAGGAGATGCAAGCACTAAAGAAGCATGCAATATTTGACTCAACTAATTATGGGCATACCGAGATGGAGTACAAAAAATCACTTGTCACCCATGAGCAGGAGGAAACCGAGTTGGACAGCGACGATGAAGAAGTTTCTAAGTCTGTTGCATTCTTTGGAATCATTGAAGAAGGAGAAGAAACACTGAAAGATGATTCAAGTGATGATGAAGAAATAACTGAGGACGAGTTATACAAAGAAATGACGAAACTAGTTCGAATGAACATATATTTGTTGGATGAGAAGAAGCGGCTGGAGAAGGAACTTAGAAATACTCAGATCTAACTGACATCTACTCAACATCAATTGTCCCAAAAAGAAGAAGAAGCGTCGCTCATGAGATGTCAGATTGAAGAGACCAAGAAAAATCTTCATCTTCTTGGAAGTGGAACTGGTAAGTTGGATCATCTACTTGGACAGGGAAGGAGTTCACGAGATCAATCGGGGCTTGGATATGCGGGAAAGGAGCAATATCACCCAACATTTGTGTCTGGAGGAAATTTTGAATGAGAAGTACCTGACTTGGTACAAAGTACTTTTGGCACTGTCAGAAATACTCCACGAGTCAAAGTGGATCTACGAACCTCTCAAGAGCAAAAAGAGTGCAGAAGATGCTATTATTGTGGGAAGAGAGGACATATTCAAAGGAATTGCTATTATCTACGACAGAAAAGGAACTCTAATTGGTACGTTCATTCGAACTTGAATCACTCTTATATGTCTCATCCTTCGAAGAATCTTAGGTGGATTCGTAAAACCGATGTGTCATGCAATGTTGCATGTACGTCTGGGCATACGAGTGAAGACGTTGTCTGGTATTTGGACAGCGGATGCTCAAGGCATATGACAGGTTGTCAAGAGCTGTTGACAAATTGTGAAGTAGTACTCAGAAGCGGCAGTGTCACGTTTGGAGATGGAAAACAAGGAAAGATTATTGGCAAAGGTACTCTTGAGTGTGATGATTTCCTCAAATTGACAGATGTCAAAGTAGTTCAGGGATCAAAGGCTAACTTGATCAGCATAAGTCAACTATGTGATAATGGCATGAAGGTGAAATTTACAAAGGATGCATGTTTTGTGACCAATGCGGATAACAAGTGTGTTTTAACTGGGCAAAGGACATCAAGCAATTGCTACATATGGGTTGACAACTAGATTTTCAGAAACTCTCTCAAGGTCCTAAGACACGCGCCCAGAATTAAGCAATCGAATGCTCAGGTATGGTTTTGAATTTATGCTTATACACAGGGGGAGAAATGGCTCGAAAGGTGTATGATTGAAGATGCTAAGCGAATATGCATGGTTGAAATCGTTGAGTACGATATCGAGGAGCAAAGTGGATGAATGTGTGTTCAAGTATAAGTGTGCATAAGCATAAAGTCAAAAAGGGGGAGAATGTTAATGCAAAGAAAGAACACCAAGAGAAGATTCAACATCTAGAAGATCTCAAGAGAAAAGGAAACATGCCATTGAAGAAAAATGGAAAGATCAAGGAAAAGGAATAAAGTTCAAGAAAAAGGAAAAGAAGATATTGAGCAAAATATTGTAAACAAGAAGAGGAGCTATGCATAAATACAAGACTTGGGAGATACAGAAAGGTATCCCAGCAGAACAGAAAAAGAGAGAAAAGAGCAAACGAGCTGGAGAATCATAGGTGTGGGAAACACGGGTGAGTGATACTTGAGAGAGAGTGAAGTGCATCTGAGGGGGAGCCTTCAAAAACAGGCGAACCGCTCAAAGGGCCTAGACGAGTCTAGGGTTACACGGGGTGTGCGAGGCATACATAGTGTATGGGCTGATAGAATTCATGTTGTAAGGGGGAACAAACTCAGAGGGAGTTGTGTTCTTGGGATGGATTAGGCTCGAACGAAAAAAAGTTGTAATTCATGTTCTTTACAAATGAATAGAATCAGTTGAGAAGTTTTTGAAAGCAATATCGTGTGAGTTTTACTTTTTCGAAATGATTCAGATGTCAATAGCAACCTCAAAAGCCTAATGAGCGAGAAGGGTAACAGAAAAGAATGGGCAGTGGTCGTAGGTGCTGGAAAGAAGCATGCAATATTTGACTCAACTAATTATGGGCATACCGAGATGGAGTACAAAAAATCACTTGTCACCCATGAGCAGGAGGAAACCGAGTTAGACAACGACGATGAAGAAGTTTCTAAGTCTGTTGCATTCTTTGGATTCATTGAAGAAGGAGAAGAAACACTGGAAGATGATTCAAGTGATGATGAAGAAATAACTGAGGACGAGTTATACAAAGAAATGACGAAACTAGTTCGAATGAACATATATTTGTTGGATGAGAAGAAGCGGCTGGAGAAGGAACTTAGAAATACTCAGATCTAACTGACATCTACTCAACAGGGAATATTACTCAAATAACCCACTTGGGTCGCAGCAATTTCAGTGTACACCACCGAAAAAAAAAAAAAAATTTTCAATTTTAACCCACTTTTTGGTTGGAAAAGTCCGAAATACCCTTTTCGTTTTATTTTTTGCGACCTTATTACGACTAACATATAACTGATATACCACTAAAATAAGACAGATGATTTTTTGCCACCTTTTTTAGAATCAATTGTAACTATATTTAGAATTAATTACGAAGTCGTAATAACGAAGTTGTTTTCGAACAGATAAAAATCGCGTATTCATTAAGGGTAATTTCGTCTTTTCACACGAAAAAAAAGTGTTATGTTTTTTCTGGTGTACACGTGAAATAGGTGCGACCGAAGTCGGTCATTTGAGTAAAATTCCCTACTCAACATCAATTGTCCCAAAAAGAAGAAGAAGCGTCGCTCATGAGATGTCAGATTGAAGAGACCAAGAAAAATCTTCATCTTCTTGGAAGTGGAACTGGTAAGTTGGATCATCTACTTGGACAGGGAAGGAGTGCACGAGATCAATCGGGGCTTGGATATGCGGGAAAGGAGCAATATCACCCAACATTTGTGTCTGGAGGAAATTTTGAATGAGAAGTACCTGACTTGGTACAAAGTACTTTTGGCACTGTCAGAAATACTCCACGAGTCAAAGTGGATCTACGAACCTCTCAAGAGCAAAAAGAGTGCAGAAGATGCTATTATTGTGGGAAGAGAGGACATATTCAAAGGAATTGCTATTATCTACGACAGAAAAGGAACTCTAATTGGTACGTTCATTCGAACTTGAATCACTCTTATATGTCTCATCCTTCGAAGAATCTTAGGTGGATTCGTAAAACCGATGTGTCATGCAATGTTGCATGTACGTCTGGGCATACGAGTGGAGACGGTGTCTGGTATTTGGACAGCGGATGTTCAAGGCATATGACAGGTTGTCAAGAGCTGTTGACAAATTGTGAAGTAGTACTCAGAAGTGGCAGTGTCACGTTTGGAGATGGAAAACAAGGAAAGATTATTGGCAAAGGTACTCTTGAGTGTGATGATTTCCTCAAATTGACAGATGTCAAAGTAGTTCAGGGATCAAAGGCTAACTTGATCAGCATAAGTCAACTATGTGATAATGGCATGAAGGTGAAATTTACAAAGGATGCATGTTTTGTGACCAATGCGGATAACAAGTGTGTTTTAACTGGGCAAAGGACATCAAGCAATTGCTACATATGGGTTGACAACCAGATTTTTAGAAACTCTCTCAAGGTCCTAAGACATGCGCCCAGAATTGAGCAATCGAATGCTCAGGTATGGTTTTGAATTTATGCTTATACATAGGGGGAGAAATGGCTCGAAAGGTGTATGATTGAAGATGCTAAGCGAATATGCATGGTTGAAATCGTTGAGTACGATATCGAGGAGCAAAGTGGATGAATGTGTGTTCAAGTATAAGTGTGCATAAGCATAAAGTTAAAAAAGGGGAGAATGTTAATGCAAAGAAAGAACACCAAGAGAAGATTCAGCATCTAGAAGATCTCAAGAGAAAAGGAAACATGCCATTGAAGAAAAATGGAAAGATCAA